CAGAATAAAACAGATTTTCAACCTAATTTCAGACCAGTCCATCCAGAAATGGTCCAAATGGGTGATCTTAGTGTGGCAGAGTGCAGACTCACCACATATTCAAAGACCAAAGTCAGGGTTTCCTTGGTATGGATGATGTCATGGAGGAGCACGATGTTGGCGTGCTTCAGGCCTTTCAGAAGAGAAGCTGCAGGGACAGAACAAAACAGAGGCAGAGAGTTGATCTGAACTGTGTATTGAGATACCAGGGGGCTTCCTATGATTCTGCCCTCATTAGCAGAATCATTAGAATGCAACACAGGCCCTCTGCCAGCTTCACTACAAAAAGGGGATTTAAAAAAAAGATTAAAATAGAGAGAGAAAATATAAGGTGGAGTAAATATAAGGTTACTAGCAAAGCTTATAGAGGCTTACTGAGGAGGCTGAATGTGATCAGCACATTCTGGGACTTGCTAAGACTTTCACATGTGACTCACTTCATCCAAGCCACAATTTAAGTACGATCAGGGAGGACTGTGCAAATAACAGAAATTAAATAACTTGTGGATTGTGTGTATTTCAGAATGAAACACAAATGTGCAGCTTCTTAGAAAGGCAGTTGTTTTTACTACGCCAAGCAAAGATGATATTAAGAGCTGTGGTGGTGCACTAAACTGGAAAACTGAATACTTCCAGCACCGACAGCGATGGCGACCGAGGTTACTTGCGCTCTTTTGTGTTTGTTGTTTTTCTTTGTTTTCTTGGTCTTGTGCAACTCATCCCGGATTACTTTTACAAGAGAAGAACTGCTAAATATCGGACAACTCACACCAAACTACCTTCCTCCGATTTTTGTGAACGAAGAATGCAGTATGGACTTCCTGATCGGAGGCGCAGCAGCAATATACGGGAGCTGGAAAAAACGCCCGCTGGCGCGGAAAACGTGCTAGCGCTTTGGTGCGGTTACGATAGAGGGGAACACGAACCTCACTCCCATCTATTCACTGCTCCCTGGTTAACAAAATGGATGAAATTCTACTCGTCAAAAGGACTAACTCTGACTTTGCACGCTCTGCTGCTTTGTGCGACTCAATCGCGGACAGCGCGATTCGAGTACCGGCTTCCAGGTGTTCAGAGCGGATCATGTAAAGGAGCTGACCAGGAAAACAAGAGGTGGAATCTTCTTTTACATAAATGAAGGTTGGTGCACAGATGTCACAGTGCTACAGAGGACATGTACCGCAGACCTAGAGATTCTTGTAACCGCAAACCCTGTGAATTCAACAGTTTCATGCTAATAGGAGTGTACATAACACCGCAGGCTAATGCTAGCGTGCTACGGCTCCTGGCTGAACTGGTAACTAGCCTGGAGCTAGAACATCCCGACTCTCCACTCATTGTTCTAGGGGACTTTAACAGAGCAAATCTCACCCACGAACTGCCCAAATACAAACAGAACATCACCTGTCCCACCAGGAACAAAATCACACTGGACCACTGCTACACAACAATAAAAGACACCTATCACTCTGTCCCCCATGCAGCCCCTGGACTCTCAGATCCCTGTATAGTCCATCTTATTCCAATTTACAGGCAGAAACTTAAAGCTGTGAAGCCTGTCAAAACAGTGAAGAGCTGGACTGAGCAGGCTAAGTCAGAGCTACAGGCCTGCTTTGACTGCACAGACTGGAGTGTATTTGAGACTGCAGCTACAGACCCGGATGAACTCACTGACACTGTGACACCTTATATCAGTTTCTGTGAGAATGTGTGTGTGCCCAAAAAGCCCTTCTGCACATACAACAACAACAAGCCCTGTTTTACAGCAAGACCCAAGCAGCTTCGTTGTGCCAAAGAGGAGGCTTACAGAAGTGGGGACAGAACTCTGTACAGCCAGGCCAGGAACACACTGACAAGGGAGATCAGAGCAACAAAGAGGAGCTACTCTGAAAAGCTGAAAGCTCAGGTTTCAGCCAACAACCCCTCGTCTGCATGGAGAAGCCTGAAAAGCATCACTGCTTTCACTCTAACATCTGTAGTTATGAAGTCTTTTGAAAGATTGGTGTTGGCCCACCTGAAGGACACCATAGAGCCCCTGCTGGACTCCCAACAGTCCGCCAACCGGGCAAACAGGTCAGTGGACGATGGAGTGAACATGGCACTGCATTACATCCTGCAACACCTCGACTGCCCAGGGACGTACACACGGGCCCACTTTTTAAAAAGCTGGTTTTATAAATGTAGTTGAGCAGATGACTCTTTAGTATGTACACGCACAGAGCTGTCTTTGTAAGTTAACATAGAGAAACAGCAAACGTCATGAGCAAAAGTGAAGGCCGGCTACTCCATCTCTCACAGAGAGCTGATAATCATATAAACCACCTTAATTTAATTAGACCTCACATCAGCTGGCTCTTTTTTCCCAGCTGTCTCTGTTCCAGGCAGAGGTGAAATATGGTTTCCCCTTTTTAAGATGCTGTGTGTGATGAGTATCAAACATTAGCTGATGAGCTGTCAAAAGAATGATGTTGATTCCCCCTCCTTACCCACGCAGGAATTTCGACCTGCCTCAGGAGCTATTGATACAGTTCCACAGAGGAATCATCGAGTCTGTTCTCTGCACCTCCATCAGTGTCTGGTTTGGCTCAGCAACCAAACAGGACAAGTACACACTTCAACGGACAGTTAGGACTGCAGAAAAGGTCATTGGTGTGAGCCTGCCCTCCATGGAGGACCTGTACACCACACAGGTCAAAAGGAGGGTGGAGAGGATCACTGCTGACCGCTCACACCCCGGACACAATTTGTTTGAACTCCTCCCCTCTGAACAGTGTTACAGGTCACTGTGCACCAAGACAACCAGGCACAGGGACAGTTTCTTCCCCCTGGCTGTCACTCTGATGAACACTTAACCCACGACAGTATGATTGGACAATAACCCTCAGTTCTACATTGTACAGATTATACAGACTCAACAGATTATACAGACTTGTACAGGTCTCTATTTTTAAGTACTCTGTTTTATCCCTATTTATCTAATTTCAATGAACATTCCTTTTTTGTCTGCATTGTTTACTGTCTGTTTAAACTGCTTTTTCTGCATTGTTTGCACTGTTGATGTTAATACTGCTAATTTGTTATATTACACAGCCTTATGCTGGTTTACTGTTTGCACATTGAGAGCCAATGTACCTGAGTCAAATTCCTTGTGTGTCCATCACACCTGGCCAATAAAGCTGATTCTGATTCTGATTCTGGAATGTGATGATTGGCAGATCTAGATTTAAAGGTACATTAACTAAGATTTTACACATTGTCTGTGAAAATGGGACAAGGTGTGGTGTTTCTTAGCAATACTGTATTATTACCTAAAGGCTGTAAAAAAAATCTGATAAGCAGCTCAAAGGCAGGATTCCTCTCAATAAGCAGGAGGTTAGCACTACAGTCAGATACCTCAAAGACCCACCAGTCTGAAGATCCAGCGCCCTCCCTCAAATAGAGCCACCCGATTTCTGGTAATATGCATAAGAGTGTCTAGTTTTAATAAGCACAGACATGCACACACACTGCACTTTCCTCTACTCTGGACATATGACTTTATTCAGCAGCAGTCTGTAATGCCACTCATATATCTGGGCTGGGAGCTTCCTGTGCAGTAATTGCTGAATTAGTTAAATTTCAAAGCGCCTTTCTAGTCTGCTCACAGAAAGAGCTTGGTTTCTGTGTGTGTGTGTGTGTGTGTGTGTGCGCACATGTGCGTGTGTAACCCAGGATGGCTCCTGGATCACAAACAGACAGATTAATTTTCTCATCTGTATTCAAATGCCACTTGTGAATATAGGCATGAATGTGTCTTCTTTAAGCCCAGCCAGTGAACTGAAGAGCTTCAAGTGCTTCACCTACACAGCTGGCAGGACAAACCACGCAGGGACACGCTCTGTGCCGCTGTTATGTACAAGAGGACAACTGGTGAGTCACCAGAGATCAGACAGACATCTGAACACAGAGACAATCCTCAGAGTAAAAAGTTCAGTTCAGGTTTGGGACACTGTCCTTTTTTTCTTGCAAATTGTGATCATTAATCTTCATTGGGTATGTTTACTGTAAATAAATTAATCTAATCAAGTATTTTTATCTGTTATATTTAACTATAATTAACAAAAATTAAGTGAAAACAACAGTGATTTCAGTGCAAACCAGGTTGCTTCAAGAGTGTTTTGCATTCACTGTGATTTTTTTTTCTTAATGCTATTTGCCTTATTCTCACTTCTTTCAAGGCATTTCTAAAAACTCTCAAAACAAGTTGGCTTGCTTTGAGAACATCTTTAACATGGGGCAAAATAAAATAAAAAATCATATCTATGTCAAAAGTTAGCAAAATCAATTTTTGCTTGAAATTTACCACACAAATGTAGGGTGGCAATGTCTATCAGCAGATCAGATTTCATCTCAATCTGATCCAGATTCCAGATCTGAAAGCCACTTAATACGAGTTTCAATGTTAATTTTAACTCATATTTTCTGTCATAACTTGGCCGATAATGAAGACAGAACCCTGAAATGTTCAGGTAAGATCCACACTATAACTGAGTATCATACCCTAAAAGATGATCCGGGTCCAATCCAGATCAAGGATTTTAGGACACATTTTGTGTTGTCCTGGATCTCATTTTTCACAACGGACCCACTTGTGTGAGTGAATGTTGTGCCTTGGCGGAGGTACAGTACATGTACTCTCTGAGTGCTCTCATTTGAGGAAATGTTTGAAAAGAGTCAGCCCCGAGCAGAAAGCCACCCCATGCTGGTGGAGCTAATAAAGCGGGGGGGACAGAGTGCCAAAGTGTTAATTTTGTTGATTTGAGACTATAACAAGTAAGAAACAGACATTTGAAAAATTCAGACAGGATGCCAGTATTTATGATAGTTTACCGCTGAGCGCTGTGGACATGGCAGTAACGTTTCAGTTTGATATCTGTTGTGTCACTGTCAAAAAGAATTAGAATATTCCATGTCAGCAGTCAACCATGTAAATCTTCCTCCAAATGTTCCCCAAGGAACTGTACACCTGCATTAATGTTATCTACCAATGTAGCTTGTCTCAGGCTGAACCTAGTCAACATTACTTTAGTCAAAACGGGAGTGAATCCAGCTTCTGAATCACTCACTGCTCTGCAGAGCAGACAGACACTGACACTATGTGTGAACAAAGGAACAGCCTAACAGCCTTTTCCACAGACCTTGTGACAGCAAAAATAGACAACTGAAAACTGCAGAGTACTTGTATTCCAGTATTCTTCACAATATCTGCAGATATTTCCACTCCTAAGCTTCTTACCTTCTCTAATGGCTGTGAAGGGTGTTCCTTCTTCCTCTTGCAGACGAATCACCTTCAGAGCCACAAGCTTCCCATTCACCCTGGTAACAACACAGAGGACAAACAAAGCATCGCAATCTGCTGTTTTGGGGACATAAAGAAAATAATGTATTAAAAATCTGTGATGCCTGGCAATAGTGATGATTGTTAAATGAATGAAATGTCATTTTGCAGCAGTGAAGTGAGACCCGGGTACTAGGCCACAGGATTACAAGTGAATGAAGCACACTAATCAAAGCGGCTCTATGCAAAATAACATCATTACTGAGAATATTAGAGTCTGTAGTTTCATATATTTACAGTGTGTGGTCTGGAATTTAATTAGCAAAACCTGGGAGAAAGGCACTAAACCATAAAATGTACAACATAACTACTGAATCAGTGAATAAAAACATCCATTTCATATTTATAAAATTTAAATAATAACAGTGCATGGGTGGGAAAAGCATATTTATATGAAATTATACTCTGTAACTTTTCCATTTAATTAATTTATGTAGTTCCATCAATGTTCCTCTATAATTAAATGTAATGTTCACATGAGTGGCTCTTATGAAGTACGAAGAACAGGGACAGGACTAGACACTGATTCAACATGCACACAATACTTACTTGCTCTTTCCTTTATAAACTGTAGCATATGAACCCTCTCCCAGTTTCTCCAGCTTTTCATAGGAGTCTGCCTTTCCAAACTTGGGGCTTGTAGGCTGAAGAAAAAGAAAGAGATAAGAAAAGGTAATATCAGAAGAAGAATTCAGTAACATAGACAAGAGAAGTCTCGGAGGATTTCACTGAGGACATTACAGATCTCTGAATGATATTAAAACCTCGAGGCTCCCCACTGTATCATCGGGGAGGTGTAATGTCTGTGAGGAGGAGGAGAGAGAATTTCACAGTCTTCAAGTAAGCACTCTGATGACTACTTTTCATTTGATAGTCTACTTTAAAACACTTTTCATTGCCTTGCCAGTTCACAAAGAAAGAAAACTTACTCTGACAGCAGGACTGAATGTGTTTATACACAACTGGTATGAAAGGGTTGGTAGCTAAACTCTGAAACACCAGCTTATTGCAGACTGACTTGGAAGTTATAGGAAAGACTGTAGTGATATTGTATATAGTACAATATACTGCACAGTACATGGGGCAGTTCAGAGAGGGGCAGAAGTTACCTGTATTACCACCTATACCTCCTCCATGTGAATTTTTCCAACAGTTGTTTACAGAGAGATTATTTCACTTATAACTAACTATATCACAATTCTAGTGAGTCAGAAGTTTACATCCACTCAGTCGACTGTGCCTTTAAACAGCATGGAAAATTCCAGAAAATGATGTCATGGCTTTAGAAGCTTCTGATTGGCTAACTGACATAATTTGAGGTCTGCCTCCAAACTCAGTACCTCTAAAGAAATCAGCCAAGACCTCAGAAAAAAAACCCCACAAGTCTGGATCATCCTTGGGCGCAATTTCCAAACACCTGAAGGTTCCACATTCATCTGTACAAACAATAATCTATAAGTATAAACACCATGAAACAACACAGCCACCATACCGCTCAGGAAGGAGACACATTCTGTCTCTTAGAGATGAACCTACTTTGGTCCGAACAGTACAAATCAATCCCAGAACAGCAAAAGGACCTTGCTACTTAAAGTGCCATAGATTTTGTGTTACTTATTTATCTACTTTATATTTCATTTGTATTTTGTGGCATTCATGTGGACGGCAAATGTAAAAATGTCATTGTACAAGGAAACACATTTCCTAACTGTGCATATGACAAATAAACACTTTGAACTTGAAGACACTGGAGGAAACAGGTACCACAGTATCTATATCCACAGTAAAAACAGTCCTGTAGTGACATAACCTGAAAGGCTGCTCAGCAAGGAAGAAGTCACTGCTCCAAGACCACGATAAAAAAGGCCAACTACAGTCGGAAGCTGCACATGGGGACAAAAATCTGACTCTGTGGAGAAATGTGCTCTGGTCTGATGAAACAAAAAACTGAACTGTTTGGCCATAATGACCTTCGTTATGTCTGGAGGAAAAAGGAGGAGGCCTGCAAGCTGAGGAACACAATCCCAACTGTGAAACACAGGGGTGACAGCATCATGTTGTGAAAACTGAGTTTAAATGTATTTGGCTAAGTTGTATGTAAACGTCTGACTTCAGCTACATCTGAAAGCAAATCCCTGACTATACTGTATGCTTAAAGGAGGCCCATGGCAACCTCCAAGAATCACCTCTTAACATCACAACATACACATATCCTTACCCTAACCTTAAACAAAGCTGACACTTGCTCTAACTTTACACTGAGTTGTTTTCATAAAATTCAATGTACTACACTGTGGGGAGTCGGGGCCAGCCTTCAGTCCCTGTGAAGATAGTACGTCTCACATTTCTGTCGGCACAGGTATGGAAAACCAAGGCCACACAAAAACATATATCTCCACAGAACTAATTAATTTAATTTTAATTAATTTAACATAATTTAATTGAATCACCTTTATTGAACGTCTAACAGCATGGTGCAGTTGTTGATACATCTGCACAGTCCTCACTGCTTTATTCTCCCTGTCTTCTTATCTCACCATTCTCTGCAGCACTAATAATCTCAGCATGTCTCATGGCTTCTCTGAACAAGTTTGACATTCCCCCGAGATCAAGCAGGAAGTGAGACTGTATCTGGTGGCCTGAGGAACCTCGCAGAGATACTCATGTTGCCTCCCTCTCAGCCATGTTGAGACTGGACTACAAAGGAATTGTAAATAGCCTTTTTTCCATGTGCAGCATTGTGCATCAGCCAGCTCCATTCTCCCCTGTGTATGAATGCTTGAAATAAAATAATAATAATAATAATTTTTATTTAAATTTTGTATGACACCACCACAATGGCTCACCCTGCATGGAATTACATGACACAATCAAAGCACAATCAAAGCAAACATGCAGTAATCTGTTTCACATTTTAAAAAAATAACTACACACAAAGAACTACACAATGCAGACAGCAAAGATGCAGAGGAAGAGCCATCAAGCTCCATCGCAGACTAGAGACAGAGGCCAGACCTGCACACTGAACACTGGCACTCCCCAGGGCTACGTGCTCAGCCCACTCTGGTTCACTCTGCTAACATACTGTATGACTGCACTGCATTGCCAAACTTCAACCACATTAAGTTTGCTGTTTGTTGGTCCTCATCAATAAAAGTCACGAAACAGCTTAAGAAGAATAGAAGAAGTGGACCTTCCAACAGCATGCTGAAGACCCCAGCATTTCCCAGAACATAGGGAAAATAAAGGAGGCTGCTCTGTGCCACCTTTCTCTCCTCTCCCTGCTCTCTCCCTCTCCACTCTTCTCTTGACAGACCGAGGCAGCCCAGGCTTACGGCACAGCTGTTTTCTATCCCAGCTGATAAAACCACCATAAAACCGTCAGACAAACGCCACCCCAGTGCCGGTTCATTCTGTGTGGAATACGCAGCAGACAGTGGACAACCCCAGCTTCTACAGTCAACTTTTCTTCTGGATCAAGTGAGACTGATCTATTACCTGTGACATATCTTCTCCTTGCACTCCAACCTGTGATTGCATGACAAGGGATCCGGGCTCCAGAGATCATCAGCACCCCCACGCCGTCTCTCCCTGTCCACCTCTCGCCGACGCTTCCCCGAGGCGGAGTCACCATGGTGCACCGGCTTCTCCACCCTCCGGCAGAAATCTCCATCTCCCCACGTCCAAGCCGCCAGTACTCAACCCAGCAGATCATCATCTTCCAGCCTATGACTGACTCAGTTTCCTCTTTTTCCTTTCTCTCAGGCCCGGCGCCCCTCCTCCTGCCTCCGCGGCCACTCAGCCCTCCGAATCCGGTGACGAGCAGTATCCATAGTATCCTCAGGCCCGGATCTGGTTTCCCCGCTGGTCCACTTCGGCCCCATCAATTTATTATTTCCGTTTCTGTGCCCGTTTCTGGGGAAAATAAATTCTGTTTTTGAATCGCTCCCTGCTAACTGAATCCACTTGTTCACTCTGTTCGCTCTCTCTCCCCTGGTGTCGGAGGAGCAAAAGTAACAGCAACACCTCAATTTTCTGCATCGGCTGAAGAAGGTGAGCCTCCCTCCACCTGTTCTCCCCATGTTCTACAGAGGCACCACTGAGGGCATCCTGACTACCTGCATTGGTGTCTAATGTTGAAATGTCAAAGTCTCTAACTGTAAGAAAAAGAAAAAACATTTGCACTTCACACTCCTCTGCACAACAAATCCATGAAGTATGGTGTAGCTGCAAGGCCCTTGATATCATGAAAGACCCCTCCCACCCCAGATGAATTTCTTCATCCTTTTTTCATTTGGCCAGAGGTATAAAACTATTAAGACCCCCTATGCCTGGCTGTACAGAAGCGTCTTCTCTCAAGTTATGAGGATCCTTAACTGTTTGAGCACCAGATTTAAAGAGAGGTCTACCAGATGCACTAGTTTGCTATAAGAGAAAAAATTCCTGGACCACGTTTGCATCCAAGTTGTTGCTGTTCATGGAAGAATGCTCACTGTGAGACTGAGTTCTGTGTCAGCGAAGCTGTAAAAATTGGTCCTGGGGAGAGGAAGAAGCCAAAGGAGATGGTAATGAAGGGTCAAAGGTCACTGAGACAGCACTGGCCTTTGAAGACTCTGTTGCAGAATTAACCCTACAGGAAGAGCTGCAGGAAGCCATAAGACAGATGGTCTCATTGCAAATAGAAGTCCCACAGGAACCACAAGAATACCTTCAGGAGATACTGAAATGCCCACTATTCAAGGAAGCAGAGTCTGAAATCAAAGGTTTTTATTGTCAGTTCACTACATGTGCAGGACATACAGAAAATTGAAATACCATTTTTCTGTCACCTAGTATTGAATGCCATACCATTTAGGAAAATAAAATTGAATAAAAGTAGAGTAAAAATAGACTAAAAAGAATAAGAAAACTAAGCCAAAGTGATTAGGATAAAGCTAAATGGTACAGCCTAATAGGCTATGACTCAAACCATGTACAATCAGTGACAGTAGTGCAAATAATAACAATAAGATTGTCAGATGGTTGTGAGATTGAGATGCTCATGGACAGTAGTGCAAATGACCAACAGCAGCAGATATACATGTCGTATAAGACCCAAAACAGCAAAACAGCAGAGGTAGTCTTTTCAGCAATGCTGATGGCTCTGCGGTTGTTAAAAAATGTCCGTGAGGGAAGGCAGAGGGGTGCCGATGATCTTGCTGGCTGTTTTCACTATGCGTTGCGGTGTCCTTCTGCAGGAGGCAGTACAGCCTCCGTACCACACAGTAATGCAGCCAGTGATGATGCTCTCAATGTGCCCCAGTAGAAAGAGCACATGATGGGGGTGGGACACTAGCTCTCCTCAGTTTGCAGAGGAAGTAGAGGCGTGATTAAGCATTCTTGGTCAGTGATGTGGTGTTGTCGGTCCAGGAGAGGTCCTCAGAGATGTGCACCCCTAGGAACTTGGTGCTGCTCACTCTCTCCACTACAGCACCGTCGATGGTCAGTGGGGGATGCTTTAGAGGTTTAGAAGATGGGAAAGTGTTGCTTGATCCAGAAGAAAACGCACCCATGACAGAAATTACCACGGTGCATGAAGAAGAGTACATGGAGGAGATGATGGTAAATTTGTATTCCCTTATCACACTCGGACCAGTGGCAGCAG